GCCCCGTGGGGAGGGGTGGAGAGGGAATTTGGGGAGTAGAAGAGTGGATCTGCACCACCAAGTGCCAAGAGAGTTGACAGACACCACGCCCCGTCCTGCGGGTGGGACGGCGTCCAGGATCACTTTATTCTTTGATGTTTCGGTTTCGGTTCCATCCAAATTGATCTTGGTTTCGCCCGGTTTCCCTTTCACTTTGCAGACCGACCGTCTCAGCCTCGCGGTGGCTGGGGAAAGCAGCGCAGCCACTGTGTCCCAGCTGGCTGCAGTTCCTGTCGCAGGCGGGCGGGCGCGGGACGGTTCTCTGACACGGCAAGCGCGTTGAAAACATCCCTGTGACCTCTCTGGGTGGCACGTCAGCGAGTGGGGAACATGTCAAAAGGCAAAAGACAGGCGTGGGAAGGGCCTCCGCAGTGACCCAGAGGCACCCAGAGCACACGAGGCTTCCTTTTGGCTGGGACGAAGCTGCGGCAGCCACGTCAATCTGCACTAAAACTTGAGCTACCCTAAAATGAAACTAAAACGCCAAGCCCGGCTACTCAGACGCTGCTGCACAAGTTTCCAAAGCTCGCTTGCGAATGGGATCGACCGGCCAGTGGGGAGAGTTGAGAGAAGCCTACCTTTTTGTTGTGGCCACCTAGACAAATGTGGTGCATCTGGGCATCTAGGAAGGTCACCGTCAGCAAGCTGGGGCACTTGAGGACTGATTTTCAGTGAAAGCGCTTAGCGTGGGTGAGCTTGGTGGAGAATCACCCTTACAGGGCTCGGGCACCTTGTCCACTCCTCTCCGTGTGCACCACAGTTCATGGTGAGATGAAGAAGTCCCCCTGCTTACAAGGAATGACTGAATTTGAATTCAACTTGCTTGGGGAGAAGTCGGCAGGCATGGAGACAGGGATCTGGAGTTTTAGAAGTTCCCAGATGCTAGGTCAGCGGATTGTGCTAGCAGGGAGTTCTTCCGCAGGGGCAAGGGGAGCGGTGAGCCCGACCCACAGACCCTGGGAGAGTTTGGCTGAAGGGACTGCTCCAGAGCTCAGGGCCCGCCAACACCTAGCCCGCCGCCGCCGTCTGTCGGCAGGGAACCTTCTCTTGTTCTGCGTCCCTGTCCCTCTATAGCCTCGCAGTTTCTTGATTGTTTAAAAACAGAAACCTGCATCTGCTTGTGTTTGCTCCTGGGCTACCATGTGGCCACTCTTGGTTGATTTTCAGACCTTTGTCTGTTGCACAAAGGAGAAAGCCTCCCTTTGGTGGCTCCTGCCTTGTGTCACACGGGTTAAGGGCTTTCCAAACAGAACTGGGTTTTGCTCTGTGGTGGTCAGACTGCGGCCATGTCCCCCTGTTTCAGGTGACTGGCACGGAACGGGCAGCCAGTGCCCAGCGCTGGTTGGCCTGTTCTTAAGGCCCAGTGGACAGGGCCAGCTGGTAACTTCAGCAGCTCAAGGGCAGAGGACATCAAACTTGGCATTCGGGAAAGATCCTTCTCTGCTCTCGTCACACGTTGGCCACCTCCGAGTACACCCTGGGCCTTCCAGCTTGTGACCGCTGGAATATTTTGGGACCTAAGTGTTGAGAAAACAGTGTGTGTGTGTGTGTGTGTGTGTGTGAGTGTGTGTGTGTGTGTGTGTGTGAGTGTGTGTGAGTGTGAGTGTATGTGTGCGTGCGTGTGTGTGTGAGTGTGTGTGTGAGTGTGTGTGTGAGTGTGTGTGCGTGTGTGAGTGTGTGTGTGAGTGTGTGTG